TGAAGTGAGTACTTAGGAATTGAAGAACCTACTTATTTATTTAAAAATATATTTTATTGATTTTTTTTTTCAGAGAGGAAGAGAGAGCGATAGACAGTTAGAAACATCATTGATGAGAGAATCATCAATCAGCTGCCTTTTGCACACACTCTACTGGGGATGTGCTCGCAACCAAGGTACATGCTCTTGAATGGAATCAAACCCGGGACCATTCAGTCCACAGGCTGATGCTCTATCCACTTTTAAAAAGGTTTCGGCAATAACCTATTTAAAACAACCGTATTCTCGGAAGGAGGTTAGAAGAGAAAATGGTTTAGGGTGGTTTCATAATAGAAATGGAGGGCTGGTCTGCCAAAGATCTGAGCAGGTCTCTGAAGAAGGTCCTCAGTGCCCTTCCACACCCTCCTCTTCTCCCAGACACCAAGGGTCCCAGGACACCCTGGTAGTGGGGCCCTGCAGGGACCCATTTTTCTCGGTAATCCCTGTGTCTTCTTAATCTTCCCAACTCATTATTATACCTACCCCAATTCCCTCTATGTTTCTTGGCTTCTTATTCTTGAGAAACAGTTAATCGAATTTAATTGGAGTATTCATGGTTTATAATGGACCCAGAAATCTCTACAGCAAGTTACCAGAGGCTTAATAGATCTAAAAACATCAATCTCTACAATCTCTTTCACGTGGGAGAACGATTGCTTCAGTGACTTTAGTAAGCCAATTCTGACTCCCCGATGATATCATAAAACAACAGAACACCTGCTCAGCGTTGTACAATTGAATTAGCCCAGCAAAGCTGAAGATCTGCTTATGATTTGCAACTGACAAGAAAGCTGTACCAGGAGAGAGAGACTGAGTGGCAGAGGTTAGACATGAAATGTGGAGTTGCTCCCCAGCAAGGGGCTCTGCGCTGAACTTGGTCTGCTGAGCAGGATCCCTGAAGCCATCATCCCACCACTGTTCCCTTAGCAAAACAGGGAGCTCACTTCAGGAGCCCAGGGAAATAGGGAGTTGATAGGAGGTTATTTTATTTTCAATGATTTGGGGAGAATGATGTGGACACAGAGCAATTACAAAGCACTATTAGGCTGCTGCTGGTTCTCCAGAAGATGAGTGAGTATATAATAAGGCAGCAGTTCTCAAACTGTTGGTCCAGAACTCTTTCTACTCTTAAAAAGTATCAAAAACCCCAAATAATCTTTGCTTATGTGTTAACATTTATTTACTGTATCAATTAATTTCACTTAATATTTAACATATAAGAAGTTAAAACAGAAACAATTTATTATTTTTTAAAATGAGTTAAGTACTCTAAAGTCAATAATACCTATTACATTTTAACATAACATTTAAAAAAAAACTATTTTTGAAAATATAGAAAGGTGGCATTGTGGTATATTTTTGCAAACCTCTTTAATGCCAGGCCTAGTAGAAACAGCTGGATTGTCATACCTGCTTTTGCATTCAATCTATTGTGAAATCTTAATCGGATAACCTGTGGGAAAAAAAAACTCTGAACAGCCATGGGAGCATGAGAAGGCAGATAAGTCTTAGTATTATTGTGCAAATAGTTGACCTCAGGAAGAAATCCTTTGAGAAGCACTAAATTAAACAGGTATTACAAACTCTTCTTAATTTTGCTGATGGCAGACTCTAAACAAGAGAGTGCTAAGATCAGCACTTCATGGCTTTGGGAGTATGGCTGACATGTGCAGACCTGTAAGGCCACTGGGGCTGCTCTCAGTAGGCAAGGGGAGCCAGAGGGATGAATAGAAGGAAGAATTGTCCAGAGGAATGGAAAAGCCTGGATGGCACATTAGAGCACAAGGGGAATTCTGTTCCTGTGTAAGATTTTTACTAATACCTGCTTCCCAGGAACTCTTTGTGGGAAGGCTAAGGCTCACTTCCTTTTGAAATTACACTGAGTGGCCAGATTATTATGATCTCTGAATGCATAATAATCTGGCCACTTAATGTATATCCTATATAACAAAAGGCTAATATGCAAATTGTTCCCTTGATCAGGAGTTTGACCAGCAGGCAGGCCAGCCAACCACCCATGCACGAATTCATGCACTGAGCCTCTAACACACACATACACACACACACACACACACACACACACACACACACACACACGAGTGGCCAGATTATTATGTGCTCAAAGATCATAATAATAATCTGGCCACTCAGTGTAGATGTAGCCATGCAACTTGCTCTGAGCAGAGTGATGTGTGACATTTTCAGGAAGAAGCTCCAGGAGCCACTTTGCTCTTTGCTGTAGTCTTTCCCTCTTGGTAATTGTTAATGTTCCATGTGGCTATTAGCTGTCCTATCAGCCTGGAGTCCAGGCTGACATTGAGGACAACATTGATGGGGAACCATCCCTAGCTAACCCTTGTTGGACATATAATACAAATGAAAAACAACATGTGTGGTTTTCAGCCATTGAGATGTTGGGCTTGTTTGTTATAATAGCACAATCTGTCTTATCCTGACCAATACAGCCACCTGACTAGAAAGGCATGTAAAGGATACAAAATGTACCATTTAATGCACACCTATTGGGAGCTTACTGTGTGCATCAAACACAATGTTAGGTACTACGATTACAAATGGTTTAGATTTGGCACCACCTTCAAAGGGCTTACAAATAAATAAATAATAAACAAACTGTCTTTCTGTTGCAATTGCCACTATTTTAACAAAGTTGAAGCTAGGGAATTATGGGAGAGAGAAGTCCTTGAATCCTGCATCTGTCATGGAACCGGCAAGGATCAGACAGCATACTTATCTGGAATTTTTGAAGGGATTTTTAACTGGGGAGACCATCTCTGAGATGTGGGCAGGGTTAAAAAGTGGCCAACAGTGATATGGAGGCATTTGTGACAATCAACAGGGGAAAGGCAACCCCACTGCAGGCTGAGGGACAGGGTTAAGAATGGTGTTACTGGGCCTGGCAAGATCCGGACTCATTGCAGAGGAGCTGTGTGACACCATCTGTAGTTTAGAAGGGCACAGTCATTGCCACAATCACATCAAAACAGGCAGGGAGCAGGAAAAAGCAATACTCTCAATTCTTTCTCCTCCTGCTCTCTGACCTCCTGTCTGTGTTTAAGGTGGTCTCTTCATCCAAGGACAAATATCCATATAAGAAGGAGGCAGAAGGAGAATTAAGACAGAAGAGAAGCAGGCCATAGGATAGAAGCAGTCACAAAGAGAAGATACTGTACGGCTGGCTTTGAAAATAAAGAAGGGCACCTTGAGCCAAGGAATGCAGCTCTAGATGCTGGAAAAGGCAAACAAACAAACAAAAAACACAAACAGCTTCTCCCCAGAGCCTCCGGAGGGAGTGCACCTGCCAACATCATGGTTTTGGCCCAGTACAACTCATTTTAAACTCTGGTCTAGAACTGTGGGAGAATCATTTTGTTTTAAGCCAACAATTTGTGGCAACTTGTTATAGCAGTAATATGAAATGTCAATAGCTTAGGATAGAATCTCCACTGCCTCTAAAGTCTATGGACTTATTACTGGATCAAGTTCATTATGTCATGTGACTTCTCACTTGCAAAAATATGGTATTTGTTCTCCTCACCCCCACACCCAGTTCTCCTGACAAATCCAGACATCAATTTTAGCAGTGGACAGAGCTTTGAACAGTCCTCAGTGGTGTTCAGGCCCTTTGTAAACAGATTTCTGTCAGGCCTGTCCCCACCAGTTTCAAACATATGCAGACACACTAACCCCCGGTAATGTATTGTCTGAATTTTGAATAACATCATAAAGCTAACATCATTTCAGCTTTTCTGAGGGTCTTGCTGTCTTTTGTTCTACTCAATTATACAGTCAGTTATTCTTTCCTCTTCACTAGTCTGTCAATTCTGCAAGACCAGAAACTCTATACCCATTTCCTAATATGCACTTGGCAGTTGGTGTGTTCCAGTCAATGTTTGAGTCTAGCTATTCCACAACAATAGTTTCGGATGCAATAAATAGGCTGGTTTGAGAATGATGATTTTTAGCACATAGGTTTATTATTGAGTGTGCATTACCATCCAAAATCTTACCAGACTGTAGCTCTTTGTTTCTGAGAGTGAGATATAGCTTCCCCTCCATTCCTAACGCAGACTAAACTTTGATTTTAGGAATCAGATTATCCTGGGTTTTATCCCAGTTTTCCCATCTATCAACTATACAACTTTGGGAAAATTAACCTCTCTAAGCCTCAGCTTCCTCAGCTGTAAGATTGATGCTCTGTTCACTGCAGGATTATTATAATATTGCATGATGCCTCTCATGGAGTTTGCTTGGAGTGTAGGAAGCATTACAAAAGTGATATCCACTTAGTCAATGACTTCTTCCATACATTTCTTTTTAAAACGGGGAGGCCAAGATTGTGAATGTTCTTTGGGAGCACAAGTGGAGAAGTATACCTTGAAAGAGGCAGCTGACGGTCCTACAACCAGGGCCTAGACTGCTGAGGAGGGAGTGAGATGAGTTATAAGCATGTAGGGTGAGATTATGTTTTTATATAAAATGTTGATAATTTTTTGCATTTATTCTGACTTTTCAAAATATTGCATTAAAATATTTATCTTGATTACCTACTTTATTGGCACACTCGTATCTAAATTTTGCGCCCAAAGCTATACAGAACTTTGTGTCAGTTACATCATGGCCTTCGTAGGGAACCAGAACAGCCAGAGAAGTCTGTAGGAAAAGACCTTGGTTTTCCTCTGAGTTTGAACTCTTACTTTCCAAACCCTAGAAACTATTACCCTGCATAGAAAGAGAGCAGACAGCGTGGACTACGACTCCCAGAAGGCCGTGCGGCACTGGGTCCTCTCCGATTGGCTGCACGGCTCGGAACCATCGCCGATTGGCTGTACTGGCCCCGCCCCCGCCCGCCCTGGCCGGGATGACCCAGGGCTGTGAGTCCCGGGTTAGAGTGCTCCCGAAGCCGGCTACTCAGGCGAGTCTCGGCCAGGCCCACAGGCTCCATGGCGACGCAGCCCGTGTCCCGGATGCTGCGGCGGGTCCTGAGGTCCAGTGTCCGGAGCTGCAGCTCAGGGGCTCCGGTGACGCAGCCCCGACCCGGGGAGCCATCCCAGTCTGCGGCGGAGGTGAGCCCGCTCGCCCGCATCTGCACCTCCCGGGAGCGGGAGCGGCTGCCTGGCAGGCTGCCCCCTGTGCTCAGAGAAGCACCCAGGCTAGCCTGAGGCCAGGGCTTCAGGGAGGGACGCCTCGTCGCTTAATTGGGGGCGGGGAGAGGAGTGCAGTGATGTTTCCTAGATGGACTGTTGGTCTGATCTCTCAGATACTTCAGGGTGGGGGAGGGGTTCGCTTCTTGGGGCTCTTGCTTACCCCCACCCCCCTGCCCATCAGCCCTGCAGCCCCCACCAGGTCTGAGTGGCCTCCGTGGGTGGGGGGCAGGCGGATAGGGCTTTGGGTTTGAGATGTTATCAGTACCCCCTCTCAGCCCCCGCCTCACGCTCAGCCTCTTCCTTAAACATTTTCCTCCCCACCCCCCAGCAGACTGGTCTGGGTATGACCAGGTGTTATGAGACACCCTTCTGTAAAGTGTGACACTGCCTAAAAATGTCACCTTGGTGCAGCAAGAGTCAGTTGTCACCTTGGTGGTCACAGGGCTCTCACTTTCTGTTTCATCTTCATTTCCTTCAGGAGGGTGCAGCCTCCTTTAGGGCAGCCGGGAGCAGGACCTGGGCCCTTCAGGTTAGGGGTTCGGTATCTATCTCTTCAGGGTGAGGAGCTCCTCTTTCTGTCCCCCACCTCCCAGCCCTTGACAGCATCCCTCAGAATGATTCCTATAAACACAAGTTTTAAGTTGGCTCTGGTTTTGTGCATGTGGTCAGAGAATAACTTGGGGAGAAGCGTCTCTTGATTTGCTGAAACCTTAGTTCTAGATCCATCTGGTCCTTCTCCTCCCACCTCCCAGCACAAACCTTCAAGTCCTGAGGTTCATCAGATCCTGCTCCCCCACCCCCCTCACTACTGCCCAATGAGGGGGAGCCTAACTGGCGGTCCCCTCTGGGATCCTCAGATAAACAGGTCCAGTTGCTGGGAAATGGAGAAAATGTTCTGTATTCCTGACCTCTGAACTCCATTGAGGGGGAGGTGGGAGAGCAGAGATTGCTGAGAGATCTTTAAACAGTTCCAGAAGAGGGAGGTTTCTTCCTCCCCCGCCTCTAGCTCATTTCATACCTTTCAGGAGAGGACCTGCGCTAAGGGCTTCAGTCCTCACAGAAAGCACTGAGTCGGGTCTGTAAATGTGACGAGCAGAGTGTTTTTCAGTGTGGAGGCTTGTGAAGTAACTCCCCTGAGTCACAGGGCTGGGAAAGGGCAGGAACTCAAACTCTGGTGCCTGTGGGGAGAACGGGGGAGAGGCTGCCCCTACCCTCTCCTTTGCACCGGGAAGGGAGCTGTCACGAGCAGGGAAGAGCATGGACGGTGGGACAGAGCGCCTGGCATTGAGTACCAGTCCTGCCACTTCCTAGCTGTGTGAACCTCACCTCCCTGTGCCTCCTCTTCCCGTTTGTAAAGTGGAATAATAGTGTCTGCTCCATCAGGTGGTTATAGGGGCTATAAAATATATATAATTAGAACAAAGCCTGGCACACCTAAGTGCTCTGTTAAGCATGTATTTGTTGTAATTATTGTTTTTGCTGCCACTGGCCCATGCGGTGTCCCGTTAGTCCCCTCCCACCTGGACATTCAAGATAGCCATTCTGGCAGCTATTGGACCAACGCCCATCTCGGTCGTTCCCCTCTGGCATTGTCCTCAGCAGACAGGTTGTCCCTTGAGTGCTGGATGCTCTCCCGCCTTTCTTGGAATCTGCCCACAGTGCTCGGCACAGGGATCCGCCTGCAGTGGAGTCAGCAGATGTTTTTGATTGTTTGCAACCCAAGAGAGGGGCATGGACCGTAGGCACAGGAAAGGGAGTCCCACGTTTGCAGTTTTGTTCGGCCTCAAGTTTTCCCTGGTTCCTGGGCTGCCACTCGTTCCTTCTTCAGGTCTTCAAACCTGACTGTTGAAGCAGCCCGTCTTGACACGGTGGGGAGGGCACAGATGCCTTGGAGACTCTCAGAGGAGAGACAAGCCTGCAGGCACATGTGGTCAGCCCGTCCCAGAGCTTGCTAATTGGCAAGAGCAGGGGTGGGGGCCCCTGGGCCCCTATCCCCCTTTCCTTCCTGCAGAGTACCTTTTCCCACACCCTGCACAGGGCCTTGACCCTCCAGTTTGGGATTGGGGGGGGGGGGGGGAGCGTTGCTTGGACAGACAGAGGGGCAAGCCACTGGGTAGCTAACATTTCTGTGTTGGGGCGCGGGTGTGAGAGAGCCCCTGTGAGGCCGGCTGAAAGGAGGCTTTGGGATTGGTCCAAGGACAGGTTGAGCAGATTCTACTTCTACATGTAGGAAGAGTAAGAGGCGGCGTGTGGGGCTGTGGGCATGTGTCACGTGGAGATGTGGAGATGTGGGAAGGGGAGAGATGGCTACCTGCCTTGTGATGGGGTGGCCCGGACAGTCTTCTCCAGGAGGCTTATCCCAGCCCAGAAGCCCTGCACCCCTCTTTTCCCTCTCAGGCTTCATGTGGGCTGGTCTCAGGCAGGGAAGAGAGGGACCCGCAAGGCCACAGCACCCGGATGTGCAAATAGCTGCAAAGGAGGGTTAAGAGGAAGGAACTGGGTATAGGAGAAGGTAGGAGGGACCACAGGGCCCAGCCTGGGGCAGGACACGTGGAGGAAAAGAGATAGAGGGCAAGCAGGGTGTTATCTGGACTCCGAGCCTGGGCAGCTCTGTAAAAGCTTTGCTTCAGTAAGTGTGCTACTCCTCGCCAGGAGCCAGAGTTGTGAAGACCTCACACTTAGGGTGGGGTGAGGAGGGAGGGGGGCTGGGGGCTGGGGGCTGTGCTAAGTCCTCTCATGTGGCAGAGGTAATTTTGGGATACCTGAGGTATACATCATTGCAAACTGCTGGTCAGGCAGGGCTCTGATATTCAAGTTTGGCTTGTGTTTTTTCTCCTGAATAACCCTGCTACTCTGTGTATACTATAGAGCTATTCGGGGCTGGCCTTCACCATTGAAATCTAATGCCCAGGTGACTAATGCCAGGGGAGGCTCTTAACTCCTTAGTACTACCCTCGCCCTTGCCACTCCACTCCGCCTCAATCCGCCCTGGGCAGGGAGGCAAGAGGTAAACAGGTAGCATGTGGTAGGCTGCTGAGGACTGGTTATCGGTGGTGCTGGAGGGACTTGGGCACCACCGTCCTGCCTTGGGTGGTGTGACAGCAGGTCAAGTCCCAGCCGTGGGTGGGAAGGCCAGGGCCATGCAGGACGGGGAAGGGTGGGAAAACCAGTCCCAGCACTCTCAACTAGTGCTGCTCAAGAATACTTGATTGATGATTCAATATGTAAGTAGGAATTATTTTAAGAAAGTGGCAGGAATCACATGCTTAATACTTACTCTGTGCCAGGAACACCGCCTATCGAGTGAGGTAAACATATTATCCACACTTTATGGATGAGGAAGCCAAGGCTTAAAGACTTTAGCTCCACAGGTAGTTCGTAAGGAGCAGAGCCAAGCTTGCCATTCAGGTTTGCCGACCCCCAAAGTCTGTGCTAGCACCACAGCAAGACCCCGGAGTAAACCAGCTGCTGCTGCTTTTGCCCTGGGGTGGCCGGGCCAGAAGTCCTCGGCCCTGGCTACAGAGAGGAAGCTACAGCCCTTCAAACACACACAAGTCCACAGCTCGCCCCACCCCAGAGCCATTGGCGGGCTCTGGCCTCAGTCCTAGGAGCTCTGCAGCGATGATGATGGCCACGCTGTATCATGCTACACCATGTGGGCAGCCGAGGCCAGCCCGGAAATGCGTGATGACCCCAGTGTAACCTTTGGAGTAGGAGCCTGCCTCTTGGGATGTGGACACAGTTTGCCACTAGCTAATGACATGTAGTGTGGACACCGGGATACCGAGGCCCACGGGAGGGCTCCCCACACGGGAAGCAGCCTGGTCCGGGCTGGGCCCTGGAATTCTGGGCAGCTGGGGCTTTCTATTCTGATTTGTCCAGCCCTTCCTGGGGGAGGCATTGCTGCTACCCTGCCTGTGGCCGTGCCCTCTGAGTCCTGGGCTCCTTTGGCACTGGCATTTTTCCCTCAAGGAGTTTTAAGGGAAAGGAAGAAACTAGAAGAACGAAAGTAGGATATGCAGTGTTGGAGGAGGAAAGAGGCAAGGATGAGGCTTGTTAATATCCAAGAGAGAGGTAGAGGGAGAGAGGGTGTGTGTGTGTGTGTGTACAGGAGGCTGGGCAGGTACTGGCAGTACAGAGTCTGAATGAACCTGGATAAGGTCACTCCACGTCTCACAGTGGAATCGGGCCTGCCCCTGCCTGGGCAGAACAGAGCATCTAATTTCCTCGTGGATGCCCCATTACACTGCTGGCTCACTGATTCTGCTGAGTCATACTCCTTGGCCCTCACTTGCTCCCAATTCCTGGATTTGTTTTGGCTCCTCCCTCACCCAGCCTCCTCCCCTGTATGTTAAGATGAGGGTCAGGAGAGGCATCTTGGCAAGTGAGGAGCTGAGGCCTGGGGTGATGGACAAATCAATGAATTGCAAGTAGTTGTTGATGGGGAAGCAGGTGCAACTCTGCCCTACATCCCGATTCCCAGGTGTCCGACCTCCTGGGCTCTGGTGGCCAGGGGGACTCTTGGCTCTGAGGATCTCCTGCCTCATCCTCAAGGCTACCGCTGGCAAGGAGGTGGGAGCCAGGGAGGAAGGTATGGTTAGGATGGTATTAGCCGGCAGTTCGGAGAAGTGACTGCTGCTCACTGGCCATGACTGAGCAGGGTTCCTCAGAGGACATGGGGAACTGGCCTCAGTGTGGGCATTGAGCACCCCCACATTTCCACACCCTCACTCCTGTCCCTTCTCTCTCCCAAGTCCGCCTGTGGCCCTTGGCCCTGGCTGCACAATAGAATCACATGGAGAGATTAAAATCACAAGTGCTCAGAGATCAAATTCACTGATCTCCAGAGGAACTTTTTTTCTTAAGCTCCTCAAGTGGTTGCACAGAACAGTCAGGGCTGAGGAGGTCACTGGCGTCAATGTTTCTCCCTCCCTGCCTCAGGAGGGCCTGAAGCCTTCTGCCTCTTAGATTACAAATTCTTAATCCTAGGTGTTTCCCTTCCAGCTCCCTGCCCACCCCTGCACCTCATTATTTCTTTTTTAAGTTTACAGCTGGGAAAGCAGGCCTAGAGGAATCAGGGCACTTTCCCAGGTGTAAGATCACACCTGGCCCAGAAACTAGGGTTCTTGCCCTTCCCATCTGCCTTGGGGATGACTGCCAAGGCCATAAGTTCTAAAGAAATGGCTTCTCCTCACCCGCCCGCTGTACTGCCCCATGCATCTTCTTGGACTCCTCCTGTCACCAGAGGAAGGAATTTGGAACTTAGAATCAGAGACCTGGATTTGAATCCAGTTCTGCCGAGGGTGTTCTTGGACCCCATCCAAGCCTTAGTTATAATCCTCCATGGGGAAGGTGTGGGGGTTCATTGAGCAGAGAACATTCTTTGGAACTTGAAGATGGTTTGCAAATGTTCCTTCTTGGAGCAATGATCTCGTCAGCATCTGTCATGAAACCCAGGGTTTTGCTCGGAAGGTGGGAGATCAGAGGAGATCAGTCTTTGGAGAAGAGGCTGGCTGCTGCTTTTCTCCCCAGCAGGGGTCGGGCCTTCCAGGGACCCTCCAGCCACCTCCTCCCCTATAAGCCTCAGACAACGGGTGGGTCATTCTTCCTTCCTGCAGTGGGTGGGGAAGGATAAAGACACGTCATCTCTGCACGGCCATTCCGGCCCCTCCATTCTGCCCTCTTGGGGGCTGGGAGCCTCATTCCCTCTGCAGGTCTCCCAGGTTGTGATGTCCTCGCCCCTTGACCTGTGTGCGGAGAGCCCTCCCATGTATATTCCCTTCCCAGCTGCTGCTGGTGGCTTGGCCTGTTGGATCCTCCTGAGCATTGGGGATGCCCTGGGGACCCCAGCCAACAGGGAGATAGTTAAGGGGAAGCAGCTTGTGTGACACCCAGAGTTAGTGGTTTTGCCTGAGCTCTTTCTGTCTGCCTTGGTCAAGGGAGGGAAGGGGAGGCCTTGGTTGGAGAGGTGGCTCACCAAGCCCCAGCCCTGCAGCGATGGTGCCTCCCTGCCTCAAGTACCTGCCTCCTTCCTGGACCGTCTCTCCCAGAGACCTATCCAAGAGATAGCAAGTCATTTGTTCCTGGGCAGGCTTCCTCTGAGGGCGGGGGTGCGCATGTTCTGCAGGTTGGGACTTCAACCCAGCAGGTCCTTCCCTCGGGCCAGTCTTGGGGGAGGGGGAACCTCAGTTCCCTCAGGGCTGAGGGACCCACAAGGCTGGAAAGGTGAGAGGTGCTGCTGGACAGATAGGAAGGGTTATGTCCCCCAGGTGGGCTTCCCCCCGGCGGGCTCCCTTGGCTCCATCCCTGCAGTGTTCTCCTCTCTGACCTGACTGTCCCTGCAGGAGCTGTCCAGGCGGAGGCAGTTCCTGAGGGAGCACTCGGCCCCCTTCTCTGCCTTCCTCACCGATGGCTTTGGCCGCCACCACAGCTACCTGCGGATCTCCCTCACCGAGAAGTGCAACCTCAGATGTGAGTCTCCTTCCGGGCCCTCTCTGCACCCCGCTTCTCTCCCCATGCGCTGAAATCTCCCCATGCCAGCGATTCCTGTTCGTGTCCCCAGTTCCTCTTTCTGACTTCCCCACTGCCCACCCTCTGCCTTGCTTGCCAGCTGAAGTTCAGGACAATTTTGGGGTCCAGGCTGAGTTTTATGATCGTGGAAACTGGATTCTAGATTAGAACAGAGAATTGCTGTTCCTCAAGGTTCTTTCTTCCTCCCTTCTGTTGTCCTGCAGTGCCCAGCGTTCAGGACGTGCCAGGGTGCCCCACTAGACACCAAAACCGTGAGGTCCACAGCAGGGCCCATGGCCAACACTCCAGCTGTGGAGACAACCCAGTGTCAAGAGAAGTTCATTAACTTCGCCAAGTTCATCTGGGGCCAAGATGATGCAGAGTCCTCGTTTAATAATCCCACGAGGACTTCCCTGGGGTGTATTTGCTGCTTGACTTCTCAAGTTTGTTGGCCTTCCTCCCTCCCTCCCTCTCTCTCTCCTTCTCTTTCTCCTCTTTTCCCCCTCTCCTACTCCCTCTTTTCCCTCCTCTGTAGTTCACAGTAAGAAATGTGTTCACTTCATGGCCCAGGAAATATGCGTGTGCATATGTAAATGTTGAACCCAACATGTCTATTCAGTCTTTAAAAGACCAATTCTGGAGTCTTCATGACTCTCACAGATCTGGTCCCAATCCTTGATGGCACTGAACCACCAAAATTGATGGTGGGGATGGCGCCCTCCCCAGTCAGGGCTCACCTCCTTTACCCCATTCTGCTAGCTGGCCCGGATACAGAACCTGAGTTTTCCTACCGATCACAGCGCGGACAGAAATCTGGAGTAGACAGGCTGGTTGTAGCTACAGAGAACAGTGGCTTTGCCAGTCCAGAGAGTACTTCCCCGCCTTTTCACCCCATCACACACATGCGAAAGGGTAGCTATTTGCCCAAACCAGATGAAATGAGAGAGGGTGAACAATGCCAGAAGGAATGGGCCCCGGCCCTGGCCCTCTCATCAGGCCATGCCCAGCATGAGGAGTCAGCATTTTGGCTCTCTACCTGGCTTATCTTTAACTTGTATCCTCCGCTCCCCCACGGTGGGGAGGGAGTATTACCATATCACAGATGAGAAAGGGGAGGCCCAGAGAGAATCTGGCCTAGGGTCTACACCAACTCAGTGTCTGGGTGGGGTCCGGAGAAAGTCCTGGCCCGGTTGGGGCGGGCACACCATGGGCCTGGCTGCTGTCATCATCCCCCCACGCTCCTTACCTGCAGGCCAATACTGCATGCCTGAGGAGGGGGTGCCACTGACGCCCAAGGCCGACCTGCTGACCACAGAGGAGATCCTGACCCTGGCGCGGCTCTTTGTGAAAGAAGGTGTCGATAAGATCCGGCTAACGGGTGGGGAGCCGCTCATCCGGCCCGACGTGGTGGACATCGTGGGTGAGTGATGGAAGCCGTCCCCTCAGCTCCCACCTCGTCCAGCTGGACTCCGATATTAGTACTAATCTTTAGCATTCATTCATTCAGAGCTTTATGCTCACCAGGTCCTTTCACCCTCTGAGATGGGCACCATTGTTATTCCGCTTGAGGGGCAGAGAAGCTCATTAGCTTGCCCGAGTACATCTCTTATACAGACCCCGAAACACAATTTAAAAATGAAAAAAATAAAGTACATTTCCACATAGACACGCCAGCTACTTTCTGTCCCTGGGATTGTCATGCTACAGCCCACAGGCTTAATCTGGGCCACCACCTTTCTGTGTGGCCTGCAAGCAAAGAATTATTTATTTATTTATTTATTTATTTATTTATTTATGTTTCTATAGATTGGAAAAGAAAAGCAAAAGAATAACGTTTTGTGACATGTGTGAGAATTAAATGAAATCCTAAACTCATTGTCCCTCCATGAAGTTTTGTTGGAACATGGCCACACCTCCATTTGCATGTTTCCCAGGCTGCTTTTGCAGAGTTGAGTAGTTGCAAGGGAGACTGTGTGGCCGGCAAAGCCACACATATTTACTATCTGGTCTTTTGCAGAAAAAGTGTAGCAGCCCCTACTTTACCCCTGTCCTACCTTACTTATCTTCACAGGATTTGTCTCATTTTGACTTTATGTTATTTGGTTGTATATGGTTTTCCGATTTATATTGTCTGTCCCCTCCACCAACTAGCATGAAAACTCTCAGTGTGCCGTGTGGCTCTGGGGGGCCGTGGGGCTCAAGGAGGGGCTGTGTAGCGCTGGGTGGGGGGGCTCATGGGGCTCTTGGGGAGCCATGGGGCTTTCAGGGACCCATGTGACTCTGGGGGGGTGGTTCCCGTGGAGCTCTTTAAGTATTCAGATTTAAAGAGCTGTAGGGCCCTGTGGGGGCCGTGGGGCTCTGTGGGAGCTGTGGCAGGTTTGTTCCAGCTGTGCTCTCAGCACCTGGAACCGTGCCCGACACAGGTGGTGCTCACTAAGATTTGTTGGATGAAGGAGAGTAGTTGAAAGTGCAATCACTGAAGCAGGACAGACCCAGGTGTGAGTCTTACTGACAGCATGCCTTTGGGAAACTTTCACAATCCGGACAGAGATGGGACCTGCCTTACAGGGGGAATGAGGAGGGAGTGCTCAGTGCATACCAGTGCTCTGTAAGGGTGGCCCTGCCCCGCTTCTACGCCCCAGGGTCAGGCAGAGACCTTTGCTCACGTGATTGCGGCTGATGAAATCAGAGGAAATTAAGCTTGTGTGTTCTTGATAGTTAAGCCCTCCACCCCCTTACCACCAGCCCCACCCCAGCTCTTACGGGTAGGACCTCCCAACCCTTAGCTCTCCGCCTCGTTTGCTGGCTCAGTGAGCGTTCTCTGGAGTGCTTTGTCCTGTCTGGGCATGTGCTGGGCACACTGAGCCCCTGACACTGCCTGCCGTGGGCAGAAGCATGTGCTGGAGCCTGCCATCTGACAGGGACTCAGGATCCCGACAGCCCTCTGCTTTCCTTCCCGTGGCCAGCTCCCTACACCCACCACTGGTCACTTGGTCTGGGATCCTGCCATTATTTCTGGGCTGGACACCCTGACCCAGGAAAGCTGACGAGTATTTCCGGTGGCTCCTCGGAGCTTCAGAGAAGGCTGGGTTCCAGGAAAAGGCTGAACCTGCTGAACTTGGCTGGCTGCCAGGCACAGCCCCTGCTTCAGGCCACTTCGTGTGCCCTCTGGTCCAGGTTCAACCTTAAGTCCCCGTGTTTCCTGCACAATGTTGTGATGCTGCTGTAATAACTTCGTTATTATTTAACAGGAAAGAAGGAAAGGCATGCCATTTATACAGCTTTGCCAGAAAGCTACATCCAACATTCTCCAAGTCTCTTCCCAGATGAGTGATGGGGGGAAGGAATGAGATGAAGGATGTGTAGATGCTTGCCCAGCAAGGTCTGAGTGACATGGGAGGATGCTTACTTGTCAAACCTGGAAGTTAAGTGAGTCAGGGGCTAGACTAGGCGTGGCCACTACAAGTGCAGGAAATCTGAATACTTAAATGTCAAAACAAAGGAAGTTCTAGCTCTCTTTCACCTGTGACTCCCGCTGCAGGGGGCTGTGCTCTGTGCTTGCACAGCCATGTGTAACTTTCACAATGGACTAATGGATTTTAATTAGCTTGAATACTGAACTACACCTAGTTGCACCATGGAGCAGACTCTCTGGCCACTGGTCTTGCTTTTGACACTGCTGGAACCCTAGTTGCACTTTTTCCAGGACTGGCTAAGGGGCAGGGAACTTTGGAATCTGAGCAATGTAACTTCATGCAAATAAAGCCTTTTCCCACATCCATTATCCCATGGGGGCTTCTGAAAATTCTTATTTTAGCAGTACCCTGAGCACCTCAACCTCATGGGAGCGATGGGGTTGATTCCTTGGTAACTATTATACAACCACTAGAGGCCCAGTGCATGAATTTGTGCATCAATGGGGTTCCTTGGCCTATCCTGCAGGATGGGGCTGGAACCAGCTCTTGGACATCCCCCAAGGGGACCCAGATTGCAAGAGGGCACAGCCCAGGCTGGGGACCTCACTGCACGATTGGGGCCAGGGAGGGATACGGAAAGTTAGGCAGCCACGGGAGGAACCACAGGAGGGCTCCAGAGTGTGTCCGTCCTGATCTGTTGGACACCAGCAGCAAACTAACCTACTGGTTGGAGCGTCTGCTCCATGGTGGTCAGTGCACGTCAAAATGACTCTTCGGCCGAAACCGGTTTGGCTCAGTGGTAGAGCGTCGGTCTGCGGACTGAAAGGTCCAGGGTTCGATTCCGGTCAAGGGCATGTACCTTGGTTGCGGGCATATCCCCAATAAGGGGTGTGCAGGAGGCAGCCAATCGATGTTCATCTCTCATAGATGTTTCTAACTCTCTATCCCTTTCTCTTCCTCTCTGTAAAAAATCAATAAAATATATTTAAAAAAAAAAAAAAATGACTGGTCGGCAGGTTGACTGCCTGCCCCCTGGTGGTCAGTGCACATAGTGAGCAGTTGAGCAGCCTTAGCGTATCATTAGCATATTACGCTTTGATTAGTTAAATGGATGACCAGACAACCGGACACTTAGCACATTAGGCTTTTATTATATAGGATAACCACCATCCATAGTCATAACGCTTCTCATCTAGTAGGTCTGAACCTCTATATCTATTAAACAATAACCCAATTCTTGCTCTCCACACACTCCTCGACCCTGGTACTTTCTGTCTTTATGATTTTTAGCTACTTTAAGAACCTCTTATGAGTGAATCATACAGTATTTGTCTTTTGTGACTGCATTTTTTCACTTAGCATAATGTTCACAAAATTCACCCATGTTATAGCATATTACAGAATTTTCTTTCTTTTAAGGCTGAATAATATTCCATTGTGTGCATATATCATATTTTGATAATCCATTCATTAGTCAAGTTAGATTGGTTCCATGTTTTAGCTGTTATGAATAATGCTACTATGAACAGGTGTAGAAATGTTGGCAGTGGGGGTAACAGCACCAGGTGTTAGACTGGTGGGGTCTGACCGGACCTGGGTCAGCAACATCAGTACTTGAGTTCTGGCTAGGAAAGAATTCAGAGCCAAGACTCAAACTATAACAGAATATTTACTTAGAAAAATCAGAGAGGTGGAAGAAGTGAATGATAGAAGAAGTGGGTTTAGGAAACAAGTTACAGAGGCCAAAGGAGGCCTCTTGGAGCTTCAAAGTGAGGAAGGTAAAGTGACTTGCCAGGGGGAATGGGAAGGGGAAGGAGGAAGGGAAAGGAAAGGGTGTGCTTCAGGGAAGGAGAGCACGCTAAGTTTTGAGTCCTAACGGTTTTAAGGGGGTAGATTTTAGGGGAGGCCCCAGGGGAAGAACTCAGTAGAATATTCAGCAGATTTCCAGATGTACTTTTTCAGGATTGTGATCTCCACTGATTGACTTCAAGACCAGCTGCATTGAATAATGACCCCCGCTACCTTGGCACCAATCAATCAGTGGAGATTGGTGCCAAGGTACTGGGTGTCATTGTTCAATGCAGCTGGTCCTGAGGTCAGCCTTGGTGTTTGTTGTCTGGTTTTGATGCTTCTCTGAACCTGGAGCTGAAATACAACCGAGGCCAGGATGTTATCTCTAGAGAGTAAAGGTCAGGGGATCTAAACAGATTGACCAGCGATATGCTAGGGGACGGAGGGTCACCCTGGACTTCTCTCCCTGGTGACTTTCTGTACCAGTCCCATCGTCCTTATTCTTACTCTGCTCATCTCTGTTTAGCTGCCTACCACAGAATATCTCTTTGAGATCCTGCTTTCAAAGAGACAGTGTAAGTGGAATTGCTGGGTCATATGTAGTCCTATTTTTAATTTTTTAAAGAACCCTCCATACTGTTTTCCACAGTGGCTGCACCATTTTAAATTCCTACCGACAGTGACAAAGTTCCAATTTCTTCACATTCTGGCCAGCACTCTTATTTTTATTTTTTTTGATAGTAGCCATCATAATGGGTATGAGGTGGTATCTCATTGTAGTTTTGATTTCCATTTCCCTAACGATTAATTGAGCATCTTTTCATGTGCTTATTGGCCATTCATATATCTGCTTTGGAAAAAAATTTTTCAAATTTTTTGCCCTTTTTTGAGTTGGGTGTTCAGTTGTTGTTACTGAGTTTTAGGAGTTCTCTATTATCCTGGATCTTAGTCCCTAGTAAGTTATATAATTTGAAAATATTTTCTCTCTTTCTTGCTTTTTATTGCTTTTTATTCTATAGTCAGTATCTTTCCATGCCCAAATTTTTAAACTTTCAAGAAGGCCATTTTTTCTTTGGTTGTCTGTGCCCATGGAGTCATAGCCAAGAAATCATTGCCAAATCCAACGTTGTACAGCTTTTGTCCTGTAATTTCTTCCAAGAATTTTATTGTGTTAGGGCTTACATTTAGGTCCTTGATTAACACTTTGAGTTAA